TAGGGGCTGGACGCTCTACTGAGTCCAACATACATACTACAGGGTTCTAGTCAGGTCAAAATATTAGTGGGGCGAGGCATGGGAAACAGTAGGGGGGGGATGGGAAACAGTAGGGGAGGGGCATGGGAAACAGTAGGGGTGGGGGGATGGGAAACAGTAGGGGAGGGGCATCGGAAACAGTAGGGGGGCATGGAAAACAGTAGGGGCGCATGGGAAACAGTGGGGGGCATGGGAAACAGTAGGGGGGGGCATGGGAAACAGTAGGGGGCATGGGAAACAGCAGGGGGGCATGGGAAACAGTAGGGGGGGGGCATGGGAAACAGTAGGGGGGCATGGGAAACAGTTGGGCGCATGGGAAACAGTAGGGGGGGGGGGCATGGGAAACAGTAGGGGGGCATGGGAAACAGTAGGGGGCATGGAAAACAGTAGGGGCGCATGGGAAACAGTAGGGGGCATGGGAAACAGTAGGGGGGCATGGGAAACAGTAGTGGGCATGGGAAACAGTAGGGGGCATGGGAAACAGTAGGGCGCATGGGAAACAGTAGGGGCGCATGGGAAACAGTAGGGGGGGGGCATGGGAAACAGTAGGGGGGGGGGGCATGGGAAACAGTGTCTACCCGAACTACTCGCGACTCAACAACTCATAACATGAGTATCAATCGCTATAGATCTATGTCTGGCTCTCTGTCCTGTTCAAGTAAATCGGCTCTTGTTTGGAATTATTTTCCAGACGACCTGAAGTCCTGCACTATTATCGCAGATTTCCGCGTCAAATTGGCTATTTGGCTAAAAGACAGCTTAACTCTTAATCATTGTTGTGATTTGTTTTCAAGCAATGTGCATAATCAGTAAATTGATGTTGCTGTTTTTGTTTCGTTTTTTGGTTTCCCGTTCTCGGGGCCTTCTACTCGGTACTCTTTGTAGTTGTATTTCTGTACTGTTGAGCTATCCGAATTCAAATAAACACTAAAAAAACAGTAGGGGGGGCAAGGGAAACAGTAGGGGCGGGCATGGGAAACAGTAGGGGGGGGGGGCATGGGAAACAGTAGGGGGGGCATGGGAAACAGTAGGGGGGGGGGCATGGGAAACAGTAGGGGGGCATGGGAAACAGTAGGGGGGGGCATAGGAAACAGTAGGGGGCATGGGACACAGTAGGGGGCATGGGAAACAGTAGGGGGGGGGGCATGGGAAACTGGGAAACAGTAGGGGGGCATGTGAAACAGTAGGGGGGGGCATGGGAAACATTAGGGGGGCATAGGCCCATTGCGTAATGATGTCATGCGTACGCGACCAACCTGGAAAGTGCCGAGTTGTGGGCAGAAGCAAATCTCGGCCTTGTATTTGTAATGTCAGCTTCTGCAAGGAACACTTTTCGTATTCTTTTGTTTGTCGGAGATGGAGGCGCAGGCTGTGAAGCTCTCCGAGGACGATGTGCCTGGAGCATCGTTAGGTCGGAATACTGATGGCTCTCAACGCTTGGCAAGTCAACTTTCCGTGAAAGAATTGAAGCGTTGGCTAGCTTGCCGTAATGCTCGTCGATCGGGAACGAAAACTGAATTGCTGATATTGCTAAGCTGCTGATGGTGCTGTCCCTGCTGAAGTTGATGTCCCAGCTGATAGTGCTGTAGCTGCTGATAGTGCTGTAGCTGCTGATAATGCTGTCCCTGCTGAAGTTGATGACGAATGGGAGGATGATGATGAAGGGGAGGATGACGAGGAGGATGGTGATTCAGGCACAGCCAAGTACAGCTCGTTCCGTGGAATAAACAAAGGGTTCAGGTTCTTCAAGTCAGGCCACATCCAGAAGATCCAGTTCATTTCACTGCCTGTCTTTCCACAATTCTGTTTTGTACGCTGCGTCGTCCTGCCCTCTTTCCGTAAGGACAGGAAATACAACGTTCGGATATCACCTGCTGATTTTTATGAACACCGTGTTGCTGTGCCCAGTGCCCGTGCAGCTGAAATTGCAAGGGAGACGAAGGGACAGTCAACTAACCTCTCCCGGTACAATGAGCGGCGACTACGAGTGACTGCAACACTTGTTAAGAGCATTGCAAGCCGACGAAGTGATGATTTCTCGACCATCATCAACAGGAAATTGGCTCCACCAGCAGCATCCTACAGCGACTATGAAGTATGGCTTAGCGCATGAACGTGATGCTGTCAAAGCCTACATCACACGTGCACAGACTTCGGATGTTCCTGTTGTCGTCGAATCCTGTGACCTTTTCATCCATCCAACCAAACCATGGCTTAGTGCTTCGCCTGATGGTCTCGTCATGGTCAATGGCAAACTGCAGCGTGTGGAGAAGATCAAGTGTTTTTTCACCATGCGGAATGGTATGTCGCTTCGTGAGTTTGCTGGACGGCGGACTTCATGCTTGACGGATGTTGATGGCAATTTGGTCCTCAAGCGAACGCACACCTACTACTACCAAGTTCAAACGCAGATGTATGTTGCGGTGTGGAGGCTGCCCACTTTGTCATAATTATGGTTTCCAGATGGTCTGTTTGTGGAAACTGTCGCTGCTGATCATTCCCTTGTGAAGGAGTTTCTGCCCCGACTGGAGACATTTTATTTCTCGCATTACCTTCCGGCCGTTCATGCTGCTCTAATGTGATGTTGTTCTTAATGTCAACACTGGACTTTTTTGGAACTTTCTTTTCCTAGTTACTTCACCATAGCACTCTTCGAGAACTCACAATCTTCTTTCAAAGTGATTGTTTTTCCATTCAATCATAAAAATCAATACACTGTTTGTACTCGTGGAGTACTGAACACGATTAGTAGGCGTCTGAGTACTGGCGGGGTAAAGGACTGGTTTATTGGATGTGCCAACAGGAAGCACTAGTAAAAGGAATGGCAGCTTAGCACACCGTAGGTGACGAAATACAATAATGATCAAATAATAGGGTGTGGGGTGGTGCTCTCAACACAGCAAATAGAAAGAATACCGGTAATGTGCACAGTGCTAAGCTGCACCTAAATAATAAAGTTTCTGGGAACACCACCATCTGTGATACTACTAAAATGTTCGCTTATTTACATAATTATGTACATTGTTAAACAGGACAGGCGATTTATGAATGAAGGTGTGAAAATTGTATTGACATCGAGACCATATCAGGTGGCAACCAATGTGGGTTGGTAATTGCACAAAACACACGCTGAGAAGACAGCTTGCTGAAGAATATCAACTAAATTGTTGTCAATGACACCATCCAGAAGACGATATTGCATGCTTACTTTGCCCACAACTCGGCACTTTGCCACGGCACGCGATTACATCACGTCTCCCAAATATGGGATTACGCAATGAGCTTATGGGAAACAGTAGGGGGGCATGGGAAACAGTAGGGGGGGGCACAGGAAACAGTAGGAGGGGGCATGGGAAACAGTAGGGGGGGGGGCATGGGAAACAGTAGGGGGGCATGGGAAACAGTAGGGGGGGGGGGGGGCATGGAAAACAGTTACCCGGTATCCCATTTTCCACTTTCCAATATTGTCTTGCCACGCTGAATGCAACGTATGGGCCGAATCCCCGACTTCGCCCCAGACAAATGTGCCTTTACGAACCATCTAATTGTGACTTTCGACTGCATTTTCGTTGAATTGCATGAAGAACACGAAAATCGGAAAATGAGTAAGGGGGCATTTTTCACACGGGGGGGGGGCAAACAGAGTAGGGGTCGGGTGGGGGGGGGGGGGGGCTGCCCCCCATCCACTTTTGGCTAGAACCCTGCCCTAGTTACTATTTCAAGGTGAATTTGCCCGTTGTGCTCCTCACAGCATGTATAGTAATGTAACATGGAAATTGTGGGCACAAGTTACAGTATTTAAACAATCGACGAGGAGACAATAGTCGTAAAATGGCAATAAATAAGATAAATTGTGCACTCATAACAACAGCAAAAATGAAGAAAGTCAAGTTCCATAACGTTTTCTTGTGACTGTCATCAGTGGAACGCCGTCACATAAAAATGTAATAACTAAAACACACACTTATATACATGTAGCTAATATGGTTTCAGGTAGAAATACAGCAGCTAACAAGTACAAAAAGCGAAGTTTGCACCTTTGCAATGTGTGAATATAGTGTGGAATATAGTGTATGTGTGAATATAGTGTATGTGAGACTAGTGTACTTGTTAGCTGCTGTATTTCTACCTGAAACCATATTAGCTACATGTATATAAGTGTGTGTTTTAGTTATTACATTTTTATGTGACGGCGTTCCACTGATGACAGTCACAAGAAAACGTTATGGAACTTGACTTTCTTCATTTTTGCTGTTGTTATGAGTGCACAATTTATCTTATTTATTGCCATTTTACAAGTTATAGTATTAAAATTAATGTATTTGTGCTTCTCACAGTATGCTTAGTCATGTACATGTATCTCGTGATCCTCACCGGCAACATCAGTGTAGGTTTTACATCATACACTGTTGCAGGCATTACTAGCCCAGTACCTGACATACATACACTGTTGCAGGCATTACCAGCCCAGTACCCGACATTCATACACTGTTGCAGGCATTACCAGCCCAGTACCCGACATGCATACTACACTCATAGTAGAGAGGTTCCGCACTACGTAAAGTTGAGCAACTTTACGTTAGTGGGCGGGGAAACCCGTGAATTCGCGAGTTTGCACTCCACTTACGGAAAGTTGTCTACGTAGAGTACGTAGATAGGGCTCTGATAACGTAGCTGGTCCGTAAGTGGATTGGGGTACAAATTTATGACTCTCTCCCCAGGTCGATCTGGTCGTATACTGCTGCGTTCGGAGTTGCCAAGGGCAGCTACGTGATTTGTAAACTCCGTATGGCGGAACGCAGATGCGCATGCAGTTTACGTAAGACTTTCCGTAGATCGACTACGTTTTTTACTAACGTAATTACGTTATGCGGAACCTCTCTAGTGCTGCAGGTCAGTAGTTGGCAATGGATTGCAGTTGCCATGGTGATGATAGCTACCATGGTTACTTCAAGACTTACCAGTGGAGGTATAAAGCAGACCATAGTCAACATAGCTACTGGATGATGCAGGTAAGTTCAGCCAACCAACCATTGTCCATGAAGCAGAGAATGAGAAACTCTCCGTTACCTAAAATGGTAAGCAAAACAAAATTACACCATGCTGCTCCAAATACTTCAAATACTACTTACGACTTAAATACCACTAGTAGTAGTAGTAGTTACTCCTTACATTCGACTCCCTGTACTGGCCATAGATTGAGCACTGTATTCATACCCATGATTCATTTATGTGCCATTAACAATCACCATACATGAAGCTTTGAGCTGATGAAACACCAAACTCTAGACCAGTACGAGAGAGAGAGAGAGAGAGAGAGAGAGAGAGAGTGGCCGGGGGGGGAGAGAGAGAGAGAGAGAGAGAGAGAGAGAGAGAGAGAGAGAGGGAGAGAGAGAGGGAGAGAGAGAGAGGCCGGGGGAAGAGAGATAGTTCTGTAAGGATCACGAAGTTGTGCAGACATACAACTTCTGGTCAGAATTCCAGCATGCCTGAAGCTAGGGTATAAAATGTACTAATCTCAATATTCAAAAACCTCCCAAAGTGCAGCATGTGTGCAGTGCACATTCTCAACTATTGTTACTTGATCCATAGTACAATGGATAACACATTTCACACAGTCATTATGTGAAACAAACTGTTACATGTAGTTCTCCAGTGTGCTTGATGCACTGTGTCTTGTACTCACAGAGGAAGTTGCCACTTTAACATCTCGTGTTGTGCCGCTTGTGCCAAAATCCATGTATTGTGACATTCTGGGTCCGATGGTTTTAGACGTTACACCAGAATCCACCTTAATGCAACATCACAGTGCCATCAAAAAGAACATTATTCATGTTACGAGATGGTCCAACATACTCCATATTACGAGATTGTCCAAAAATGCTAAAATGTTACAAGATAATTCCAATAGGCTCCATGCTCAAGGGATATCGGAGAAGTCATACTTGATTGCAGTGTAGTTTTACAGGAAAAGGGAGCTTCGAAGTCCAAACAAAATGCTCGTCCATCGTCTCCATAGAATGACTACACCATGGCTTAGTAGTCCCCCTCCCCCTCCCATGGCTTAGTAGTGCCCCCTCCCATGGCATAGCAGTCCCCCCCCCCCCTCCCTCCCATAGCTTAGTAGTGCCCCCTCCATCCCATGGCTTAGTAGTGCCCCCTCCCATGCCTTAGTACTAAGTTAGTAGTACCCCCTCCCCCTTCGATGCCTTAGTAGTACCCCCCTCCATGCCTTAGTAGTACCCCCCTCCATGGCTTAGTAGTACCCCCCCCTTCCATGGCTTAGTAGTGCCCCCCCCCTTCCTTGGCTTAGTAGTACCCTCCCCCCTTCCATGGCTTAGTAGTGATAGAGTGGCATCACTGGCATAAAAATGATTACACTGAATGTGCCTGGTTCGAGTCCTGGTGGTTAGAGTCCTTGTGGTTGAAGTCCAGTTCTCTTCAGACTTTTGTGCAGAAGTGGACGTTGTCAAAGGGCAAGTAGGTTTGCTGGTGGCAACGTTTGCAAATAGACAAGAACTGATGACTCTTCAGTGCACTGCACTCAACACTGCTGCAGGTACACATTATAAATGCTGCATTTGCTATCCAAACCCATCATCTGTTACGTGGTACATTTGACTGCTACCAAGAACGTGTCATGGCTGATACAAACAGTAGGGAACAGCTGGGCTATGTCACCTTAGTTCTTAACAACACTGAGTAACTTACATCTAATCCGAGTGTCTTTGTTTTGTAAGTGATCTGAGTAGCAGTTAAGGCCTGTGCATCCATTCTCAGAACATCTGTATATAGTCATAGACATGTGCAGACAATCATAAACCGTGAAAGCAAAACAACAACAACACTACACACTGGTCATGCATAATCAGCTAAGCACTAGTAGTTACAAAGGTGTGTTGTCCGTCCGTGCAGCCGCCTAGCCTACATGTACTTTGAAGTACACTAGCCACAAATAGCCACAAATAGCCCGAACTTGAGAAATTTTAAATCATTTATGTCACGATTGCCACTTTGTCAGTGCTGCATAGCCCTTCCAATGGTTTAAGTTGCTGTGACTTTAAACTCAGTTTGCTGTCCTTGGTGGTTCACCCAGGAATAGTTTAATTGTTTAAACACCACCTTTTATTGTGTGAGCTGGCTGGTACAAACCATTTAGCCAGTCAACTGGCTACTATGGCATGTTTGTGAGCTGGATGGTACAGGCCATTTAGCTATTCACCTGCGTGAGCTGGATGGTACAGGCCATTTAGCTATTCATGTGTGTGAGCTGGCCGATACAGGCCATAATTTAGCTAGCCAGCAAACATGTCAAATTTACACGCAGCATGGTGACATGTGACATGTACAGTAATAGAAAGGGTTGCTGAGGCTGAGAAGTGCTTTCCATTACAAACCGTTCCAACACCATGCTAAATCAGTGAATTCCAACACCATGCTAAATCAGTGAATTCCAACACCGCACTAGATTAGCACAATCCTCATCATCATAAAATTTAATATGCTATTGTCTAGTATCACACACCAAGGCAAGTTGCCGATGATTGCTGGTAGACTTGACTACTTGAGCAGGTAGATTGCGCACGGCCACACACTGGTAGAGAACTGATATATGCTAATAGCACTGTAATGGAGCAGACCACATACCACCAGTATGCAGATATGCATCACACGTTGTGTGCACACACACACACACACAGACGCACACACACACACACACACACACACACACACACACACCACCATGTACCATGTACCACGCCCGTCGCAAGAGAAGCACGCAAATCTGCAAATGCACTGGATGTGCACCCACAGATTTTCTCTTACAGCAACGATAGCAAACAAAATCTGAATGAGACAGATCAAGACTTGCGCCAGATAACTGTCTAATCCACACACACACACACACACACACACACACACGCACGCACGCACACACACACACACACACACACATGAAACATGGGAGCCTAATCAGTGGTTCATTCAAATCCCCCTCATGCATTTGTTATAACAATAGTTACCATGGTCACATATGACCCCCCCCCCACAGTACACCACTCCCTCTCCTCTCCCCCCCCCCCCCCACACACACACGCACACACTACATCACTCCCTCTCCTTTCACACCCCCTCCCCCCCCCCCCACACACACACGCCCACGACATCACTCCCTCTCCTTTCACCCCCCCCCCCCCCCACACACACACTACATCACTCCCTCTCCTTTCACACCCCTCCCCCCCCCCCCGCACACACACACTACATCACTCCCTCCCCTTTCACCCCCCCCCCCCACACACACGACATCACTCCCTCTCCTTTCACCCCCCCCCCCCCCACACACACACTACATCACTCCCTCTCCTCCGCCCCCCCCCCCCCCCACACACACAACATCACTCCCTCTCCTTTCATCCCTCCCCCACCCACACTACATCACTCCCTCTCATCCCTCCTCCCCCCCCCCCCCCCACACACACACATACACCCACCCACCCCACACACATGTCCGTACACACACCACACACACACACACCACCACACACACACCACACACACACACACACACACACACACACAGACACACACACACACGCACACTACTACTACTACTGTAGCTTGGTTGCCACAAGGGCCACACCACTCCGAAAGGAGCCAGAGTCATTGTCAGGAGCAGAAACGGAGATGACGACTCAGGTCACTCTGTCGACGGAACTGACGGTTGCAGCGAGAACAGCGACCATACGACGCTCTATCAGAATTGGTTGCTCGATGGCCACGGTCGCACTTGTGACGTCTGAAACCAGGCACTGACTTGAATTGCCGATTGCATCATAAATTTGCATGTCACACACAAGAGAGAAGCTGGGACGTTGAGCGGAATAGGTGATGCAGGCGCGGACGCTTCCGATGGTTCCAGGGGCAAACAATGATGTACACACAGGCCACCACGAGAGTGAAACCACCTCCTGCATGTACCACACTGCACAGCACCACGCTGCTCCTGGATGGGGAGACTTCGCTCTGCGCTACACTTGTGTCTTGCTTTGTCACCTGGCCGACGAAACGAATGGTGGCAGATAAGACAGTCCACCCGTTGAGATTGATCATGGGAAGGACCGCCGAGGCTCGGCCCAACGGCAGACACCCGCCAGGCAGACTGATCCTGAGCAATCCTGTACCAAGCCAGATGTTCAATGCCGATGTGCCGAAGATCAGCCGAAATCACATCCCTCCAGCGACGACGGGGACCACACGCAGGCCGAGGCGACGGTAGGAAGCCAAACAACAGCTGCTTGGGCACACGAATATCCGACATGCGGGCCACATGGCCAAGCCATTCAAGCCTCCGCTTCTGAAGCCGGGAGGACAATAGCGATGGATCACCCCACATCTCTCCCCACACGATAGCTTCCACCACCAACACGCGCGCACACACACACACACACACACACACACCTGTCCTGTAGAGTCACTGCCGCAAAAGGGTCACGTGATCCCATCACTGGGAAACTTGAGAAGAGAGAGAGAGAGGACACGACGCTCGATGACGCTCCAGGTGCACGGGTAGTCGCATCCGCTTGCCGCATATGCACACGTGCTGGAAGGCTGAGCGCTCCTCTGCTGTTGGTCTATGAGCCACCCTTGAACAGCGATGCCTTCCACACACACACACACACACACACACACACACACACACACACACACACACACACACACACACTACTACTACTACTAGCAGCATGACTGCCCAGAGGGGCAAGTGTCACCCCTATGAAAAGGGGACCAGAAAACGGGAGTCGGATCACAAGCAGGACCGCAAATGTCTGGCTAGGTCCTGCTGCCGGCGGAAATTGCGTTTACAATGTGGGCAGCTGAGGGGCAGAGCTGCTCTCTCAGCAGCAGATAGTCTCGCACCACGATTGCAGTTGTGACGCTTGAACCCGGCCGGGGAACGGAAGCATCGCTGACATGTTGGGCAGTGCTGCTGGCAACAAGCTCAAAGTGGCACAGACAGACTGACTGTTGGTGTAGGAGAACTCGTGACTGGCTCACCGCTGGCATCAATGGACAGAGTAGCCACCCTTGCTGCGGAACCACCTCTGGCAGTTCTGGCACTGCACTGATCCAAGATGGAGCTGGACGGGAAGCCGTCTCTGAGTGGTGCACTTGTGCCGCGTTCTGTCGGAGACCCGTGAGAAGTTCCGGTCATACACTGCGCAATACACAGACTTGAGCATGGTGGAGCTCGACTGAGGGGCAACCCGTACTTCCCTCCACTGTTGGCGGTCCTGAGCAAGGTTGAACCACTGAGATGGCTACTGCAGTGCAAACTTGAGGTCGGTCATCACCGTGTCCTTGCACCGTCGCCGGGGATCACAAAGAGGCTGAGGCACAGGTAGCCACCCAAAGAGAAGTTGGAGGGGTGCGATCCTCATCCATACGCGCAACGTGCCCAGTCCATTCCAGACGCCGATTGCGAAGGAGTGTAGACATCAGTACTGGGTCTCCCCAACGGATCTGCAGGTCTGTGGATGACAGCCGCTCGGACCACTGACGAGGCTTGGTGATGCTCAGGACAGTCCGGATGCATTGATGGTGGAATTTATCCAAACTTCTGATATCCTGTTGGAGTGGGGTCCAACACTCTCCGTCATACAGTGATATTGAGGAAACGCAGGCCATGTACAGGTGTCGTTTACTAGAGAGGGACAGAGACCTGTCAGTGAATACCTTCTGGATGGCTCCGAAGGCCTTAGAGGCTTCGGCAATATGGCGCTTGATGTCGGATGAAGAACGACTGTCAGGGGTCACTACGGATCCTAGGTAAGTGAACTTCGGCACGGCTTCGATAGTGCCAAGGGGGAGAACGATGTCAGCCGAGTCTTCAGCAGAGACTCCATGGCCCGCCGTCATGATCTTAGTCGTGGCGATGCTCACAGTTAGTCCACATTCTCGGGCAAAACTACAGAAGAGCTCCACACCAAACTCAGCATCACTACGGCATTCAGACACGAGAACGGCATCACCAGCATACTCCAGGTCACTAACAGACAGTGACTCGCCAGCCCTTCGCGATGATGAGCGGGGGTAGAGTTGGCCATCGATGGTAAACTGGAGGCTGACAGAGTGACTACGACATGCATCCTTTAGCCGGGCACGCCATGTCTCAACAACCACCCCGAAGTACAGGTTAAGGAGAACTGGTGCCATGACACATCCTTGTCGGAGACCATTAACGACAGGGAACTCATCAGAGGTGGAGTTGCCAACCCGGACCGAGGCAGAGGTAAAGGTGTGGAAAGCCCTAATCAGGCCACTAGCTGTTGCGGAACCCCAAGTCGGCCCAAGGCCACCCTGAGAGCAGCGCGTGGTACAGAATCGTACGCCTTTTTCAAGTCCACAAACACACACAAGAGCTGCTGACGATGTTCGTATGCTTTCTCAATTAGCTGACGGAGTGAGAAGATAGCATCAACACGGCCCCTGCCTGGCCAAAAGCCGCACTGGAACTCTGGGAGTTCTGACTCAGCCAAAAACTGCAGGTGATCTTGAATCATGCGGCCACACACCTTGCCAACAACATCAAGAAGGGCAATACCCCACCAACTATCACATTTGAGAGGTTGCCCTTCTTGGGAACAGGAACCAAACTCGGCATCGCGCCATTCCTGCGGAACAGTGGCAGTCGTCCAAGCAAGTTGGACGAGATCCAGCAATGCGTCCAGGGAATCATGGCCACTTGCTTTCACAAGCTCGGGGACTATACGCGAGGAACCTCCAGCTTTGCCATCTGCAAGATGTCTGATGGCGACGACAAGGTCTTTCATCATTGGTGTGACTGCCAGAGACTCGTCAGGCTCACATTGGGGGATGTTAGCAATGGTGGAGGCATTGAAGGTACTGGGGACATTGAGCAAGTTTGAGAAGTGAGTGGACCAGCAGTCTTCCTGGTCCTCCAAGGACGTGCAAACTATGCCCTCAGCATTACGGACCGGATGGATGGTGACAGATCAGAGTCCTGAATAGCACCGTTGAATGTCTCGGATGGCGGACCAAACGTGCTTACCGCTAAATTTGCCACGCTCCTCAGTGCTAGCTCACTGCTCCAACCATGCACTCTTCGCTGCACCAACTGCAGTACGACAGCTACCTCGGACATCGAGGAAGCGGCGGTGGTGCACTGGCAGCTCTGATTGACGCCACTGTTGATGAAGGCGTGTGCGCTCAGCAAAAAGAGGTTGGAGGATGTCTGCTGCTGCTAGGAACCAGTCAGGTTGTTGTCGAACGGGTTTGCCCAGGTGTGCCTCAGGGCTGGAAGTCAAGGCAGATTTGTATGCCGACCACTTGGCATCAACGGTATCAACTGGCCCAGACGATTGTAGATGGTGTTGCACAGCGGTGGCGAATTGGAGCCGAGTATCCTGCACCGCATTAGATTGTTCGTCGGTCATACCAGGGCGGGTCATGAGAGCTTGGATATTAAAACGTGAACGCCGTGCTACTCTGGTGCGAAATTTGACGGTGTACGACAGCCAGAACGATAGGCATACAAGATTGTGGTCGGTACTACACTCCGCACTACGGATAACGCGGCAGTCTGTGCAGGCTAGCAGATCTTGCCGCCTGACAATGGCAAAATCGATACAGTGCCACTTCTTCGTCCGTGGGTGCTGCCATGTATACTTGTAGATACGCTTCTTGGCAAACCAGGTGTTGCCCACAGTGAGGCTGTTGCATGTCAAGAACTGAAGCAGTTCCAGTCCAGCATTGTTCGTTTCCCCTATTCCATTATCTCGTCAGGTCCCATACCAATTACCATGGATCAGCACTCTGGATGAGACCAACACGTGCATTGAACTCGCCAAGGATAATCAATTGTTGACTTGGTGGCATTGAGTTTGTGCTCGCTTGCAGGGATGCAAAAACTTCATTTTTGAACTACCTACTTGATCTGAAAGTTGGAGCGTAGCATGCAATCACATTGATCCAGGTGTTTTTGTTTCCGTGGTGGACGAACTTCAACTTGCATTGTGCAATTCTCAACGAGACCGCCGTCCATTGGATTCCTCCTGCCGAGAAAGCGTTAGGTGCACGGCCTCTCAGGACGATGCAGACTCCTTCTCCGCGTTTGAAATTTTAAGATGGTACGGGACGTCCAGATGACAACATGATCGAATCTGCGACATTGTAGATCTCAGCTCCAAACCACTTCGATTCTTGAGTTGAAGTCCAGCCACTTCGATGTCAAGTCTCTTCAGCTCATTTTATGACAGTATTGATCTTCCTGATCTCGACTACTCTATGTCCAGACGCAGCAGTTTCGATTGGGCCGTCAGCATTCACGAGTGTTCTGACATTCCACGAAGCGAATTTTAGTAGAGAATCGCTCCTACTGGGGGGATCCTGCCTGCCACGACGTCGCCCGTTTTCTGGTTGCTGAAAAGCTGAGGATGGTAGAGGCGACATCCGAGGGGTAGCTAGTCCACTGCGGATGGAGGACGGAGAGCGGCGCGCCAGTGACAATATCAACATTTTTAAAATTGTCCTGGAAGACGCGCCATGAGCCTCTCAGACCTGTATTTCTATCTGGACGCCGGGGGCTCTCCTAGCAAGGTTAGGAATAGGAGAGCCCTGCTGGGAAGCGAGAACCAACTTAGGGAGAGCTCCAAGTAAGTAGAAGACGGGAACTAGACAGAGCCTCAAATTATCAAACTGACCTTCAAGACACACACACACCTCACCTCACCTCACCTCAGACCTGCCCATCGCGGAAGCGATGATAGCGAACAGCTATGTTAGACATAGCAACTTGTGCTGGGATTACACCATTCAACAGTTTGCAAGGCTGATGAAATTGACGGCCACTATTTTTAGCCTGGTATCCACCACACAGCTGATTGAAGTGACTTTTTCTGGCCAGTGAATCCCTATTTTTCATTTTTCCATTTTTTTCTACACACACACCACACCACATACTCCGGCATACACTGGCTGTTGGTAACCACCCAGGAGAATGAAAGAAAAGTCAGGAAGAGTCCAAGAAAGAGAAGAAAGACGTGTGCGACCATAATCGTCGGGAATTGAACCCGTAACCTCTCGATTGGAAATCGACTGCACATACCACTGCACCATATGGGGCACACACACACACACACACACACACACACACACACACACACACACACACACACACACACACACACACACACACACACACACACACACACACACACACACACACACACACACCTCAGACCTCAGACATGCCCATCGCGGAAGCGATGATAGCGAAAAGCTATGTAACTGTTACACATAGCAACTTGTGCTGGGATTACACCATTCAACAGCTTGCAAGGCTGATGAATTGACCGCCACTATTTTTAGCCTGGTACCACACAGCTGTTTGAAGTGACTTTTTCTGGCCAGTGAATCCCCACCTTTCATTTTCCATTTTTTTCTACACACACACAACACCAAATGCTCCGGCATACACTGGCTGTTGGTAACCACCCAGGAGAATGAAAGAAAAGTCAGGAAGAGTCCAAGAAAGAGAAGAAAGACGTGTGCGACCATAATCGTCGGGAACCCGAAACCTCTGGATTGGAAATCGACTGCACATACCACTGCACCATATGGGGGACACACACACACACACACACACACACACACACACACACACACACCATTTACCATGTACCATGTATACGCCCGTCGCAAGAGAAGCACGCAAATCTGCAAGTGCACTGGATGTGCACCCACAGATTTTCTCTTATAGCCACGATAGCGAACAAGATCTGAATGAGACAGATCAAGACTTGCGCCAGATAACTGTCTAATCCACACAACTGGCGAAGCCATGTGAAACGACCACCAATGTACACCTGGTCTACACCACACGGAGTACATTGGCATAAAAACGGCCAAGGCAGTTACCTATGCACACCCTACACTTGCTGGGGTAACCAGTATAGACAGCACGCTGCTTTGATAGAAGCACACACACACAGACACACACACACACACACATCCACCCCTCCCCCATTACATCTGTACTCTATCACTGCTAGATGTTGCGATTTAGAACAGAAGATTTCACAGAAATGAGCAGCAACTATGGCATGGGGCTAAAATCTGGGATAACTAAGAGACTGACTCTTCCTCTACTAACGACAGAGCAGTGAGAACAATCTTGAATACCGCTATCGCTGCAACGACGTACATCTACATGCAAGTGCAGTGTACATGGCCAATGTCTGTAAACAAATCCGTAGAGTCTACTGAAGGCACTAAAAAATCGCTCTCCAATCTAGTACCGGTACTCCGTTGAATTCTGTCAGCAGGGTAATCGATGCCACTTACATATTCCGTGAATCAGTGTCAATGATAATCCTGATATCGATGATCTCAGTGATGTTACTCTTGCTGCTGATGATGCTGCTGCTCGACCTGACCAATGCCAATGGCCATATTGGCGGCTAGAAATGGACACTGCCATTGTCGAGTGCCCCAACATTGCTACGCCAACTAAGCGACTAAGAGAGTTGATTTCCTTCTGTCCTTGCGTCCAATCGGATCAGTTTGCTACTGCTACAGTGTAGATGTAGTACACAGCTCTGCGTGGACAATGATTTCCATTTCATGCGCCTCTCCACTCGCCTTTTCGCCCCACTGCTCCAGTGCCAGTGGTTCCAGGTCAGTCTGATGGGCACAGAACGTCAGAAGACAGTGAATTGTTTTCATCTCGCTGAAGTAAACTGGTCCATACATTCAATGATTGCCAGTAGTTCCAGGTCAGTCTGATGACAGTGATGACGTCCGCAGAAGACAGTCTAGTAGTGAACGACTCGGCTTGGGCGCCCGAATTGAATGGCTGTCAGTCGTTTTCGTTCTCGTTCACGAGAAGCTAAAACTCCCTAGCCCTGATTAGGCCCCCGTGTAATATGCCGGCATGTTTTGGAGCATTTTCGGTACAATCCGCGAAACCAGCACTTTGGGCTCGTGATGCAGCATTTTGGGGGAAACGGAGCACTTGGCCGTTGTGTATCCAAATTGAGAGAAGAAAAACTTTCCAAACAAGAACGTCATTTCCGCATTCCAGCTTCTTGTTGAGTAGTTTATGAATTGAAATAATGATTTTGACCAGGGAGTTGTAAAATACCGGTATTTTCTGACTCCCTGGTTTTGAGTCTTTTGACGGCGTGTGCTGAGGATTACAAAAAAAGTGAGCATTTTCCGAGCATTTTCGGCAAGGTTTGGGAGCATTTTCGGCAAGGTTTACGAGAATTTCCCAAAAGCATTCTCGGCAAAGTAATTTCGGGCATATTACACCTGGCCGGGCCCTAGCCCTGATATGATTCTGACGTACTGAGTCGTTTTCATCTCGCTGAATTCAACAGACAACACACCATCATCACAAGACCCTCTCTTCCGTTAATCGTTTTTCTTTGTAATTTTCCATTCATTTTTTTGCTTTAATTAATATTTGCTTTGTTTTCCTAGCTTACTATTGCCGTGGCTGGCTCAACGCCCTTGTCTCAGGGGATTCTGTCCCTGCATTAGCTATGCTTGTCACATGCTATGAGATTGTGTCTAATAATAATATTAAATAATAATAATAAGACCTCTGCCTCTGGACATACGTACTGCAACCATGGCAACACCATGAACACGCAACGAGTTACCATGGTTACGTAGAGCCTACTGACACAGTGACCGTGACACTGTGTCTGTGACCAGGTGACAGGAGCAGACGTCCAAGGGGTTTACCGTACCGTTTGGACAATGGACATCCCCCTACCGTACCTAATGACTAGAATGTATACGATGGTATCTAGTGCTAGCCTGCTAGGCGTAGAATCTACGCGTATGCTTAGGTTTGACACACGACCCAAGCCAAACCACAGACACAAGCAGTGCTTCAACTGCTTGTCATGAAGACAGTGTACCATGTACACGACTGTCTGTAGTAAGCTCTTACTCTTAGCTAAGAGTAAGAGTAAGAGCTTACTACAAACAGTCGTGTACATGACATGGTACAGTCGACAATTCGACATTCTGCTCTGTCTGGTACATGTACCGGCGGCACGAACACTCGATTAGCTGCCAGTTGGAACGTCCGTTTGTCAGCAAATATTAGGCTGGAGAATAAAGGTGCGGCAAGAGCGCATACTTGCTGAACTAAAAACACATACCTGATCCCGTGCCGGTGGGAGAGGAGGTGGAACATGTATCTACTTCAGGTCGACCCTCCCCGTGAAGCCTCGCCAGGATGTGATGGCGGATGATGTAGAGTGCACCTGGATCGAGCTTAAGGGTGCTCGGGCACCTCATCTCTTAGGGTGTGTGTACCGGCCGCCAAGTGAAACAGTTGCGTTCTGGCCCAGACTAGAGACTGTCTAAGTGTCTTACAGGCAGCCACCAACAACACCGGATCGGTCACCATGATGGGCGACTGCAATGTAAAATGCTGACCTTGTTTCTCCTGGCCCACAATTACGCCACATGCATGACACGTGTGGAAGCTATGGACTGCAGAACGTCGTGACAGCACCAACTCGTGTTTTGCCCCAATGTGGGCGTGGAACCATACTAGATCTAGTCTTGGTCAACCATGCATGCCAGCCTAACATCCATGTGACATCAGCGATCACTTTGAGTGTGAGTGCTTTCACTCAGCTGTGTTACTGAAGTAAGCCAGCCAGTGAGTTCACTCCTCACTATGTACTAGGAGTAGGCAGCTGATAAGAGTGGATATACAGTCGACCTACCCTTATAACGATATTTGCGTCCGACCAAGAAATATTGTTATAAGGGTAATACAGTCGACCTACCCTTATAACGATAACCCCTATAACGATATTACCCTTATAACGATATTTTTCTGTCAAACCAAATCACTCCATTGACTTGTGTATACAATGCCTTACCTCTATAACAATATCCCTATAACGATATTACCCCTATAACAATATAAAATGGGCTGACCAATCGACATTTTCCATTTTATAACAATATCCAGCAGGGAGTATGTAGAGTCCACTGTCAAGGTAGGGCAAGCTTCACTTGATAAGTCGCTGGGACATGACGAAATGCAATGGGGGCACCAGTGGGCACCTTGCTGCGTAAATAAAGTGCATGTACATAGGTTTTTGACGCTAGGAAGAGTGTAAAAAATGAACTAAATTCATGCATTATGACGTATGTGTATGAATGAACCAGTTACCCCTATAACAATATTACCCTTATAACAATATTTCTTGGTCGGACGCAAATATCGTTATAAGGGTAGGTCGACTGTATTGTTATAGGGGTAACTGGTTCATTCATACACATACGTCATAATGCATGAATTTAGTTCATTTTTTACACTCTTCCTAGCGTCAAAAACCTATGTACATGCACTTTAATTACGCAGCAAGGTGCCCACTGGTGCCCCCATTGCATTTCGTCATGTCCCAGCGACTTATCAAGTGAAGCTTGCCCTACCTTGACAGTGGACTCTACATACTCCCTGCTGGATATTGTTATAAAATGGAAAATGTCGATTGGTCAGCCCATTTTATATTGTTATAGGGGTAATATCGTTATAGGGATATTGTTATAGAGGTAAGGCATTGTATACAAAAGTCAATGGAGTGATTTGGTTTGACAGAAAAATATCGTTATAAGGGTAATATCGTTATAGGGGTTATCGTTATAAGGGTAGGTCGACTGTAGCAGCTCACCGCGCTGACCTGCTTGCAGCAGACCTTCACATCTTTCCTCCCCATATATGCGAGCGTCGACGACATGTGGTCCACTTGGCACGCTAGCATCATGCGTGTACTGGACCATCATGCCCCGATGACCCCAGTTAATTAAGGGGGCAGCCTGGTCGTAAAAATCCCTGAAAAATCGAATTTGTAAATTCATATCGAGTGCTACATCAGTTGAAAGAGCATGAATAGCTGCAAAATCTCTGAAAATGTTGTCTCGATCTGACCAGCCGTTCAAGAGTTATGACCGAAAATGTGTCCAAAAAAGTCCAAAAAATCACATTTTTAGCCACGTATTGGGCTGCACGGCGGCGGGCAAAGCCCGCCGCCGTACAGCAGGACTTTTGCCAGCACCCTCGTGACGTTGCAGATATGTGGCTTGATTATTGTACAGTAAGTATCGTTTATAAAGTGACCGGATATAATGATATACTGGTTATAGTGATAGAACACGTCAAAATCAAAATCAAATCAGAAAAAATACAGCTAAAATATCACTATATACACTATTATCGGCTATACCGATATATCGCTTATTGTGATGGACTTCAGGAAGCAAACCATATAAAATGCACAGGAAAATATCGCATATAATGATCAAGAGTGATGATCACAAAACAATTGTTTTTTTCGACGTACTCATGATCTCTTTTTGCACCAACCCATTATTATACCTGCACACACATGTCCGCTTCTGGCTGTGCTACCCCTCGCAATGTGCTCCCTTTGTATGCTCTTGTCCGTTTCTGTATGCACATGTCCTTTTCTGGCTGCGCTACCCCTCGCTCCCTTTGTATGGTATTGTCCTTTTCTGTATCTTTCTGCACGCTTTTTGTCCGTTTCTGGCTGTGTTGCCTCTCACGATGATGTTGCCAACTCGCGTACACAGCCACTCATGTCTATTTCTGGCTCTACGCAACTCGTTGGACACCGAGTACGCGAGTACGGATCCAGCTCAGGCTTTTCTTTTGGAGAACACGCTGAAGAAGCAGCCATGCCACATGATGTATCGAAGTACTACTAGTACATGTACAGTCTGTACTCGTACTGCACTGCCATGCACTGCTCTGTGTCATGCACCGGTACTCAGTCCGCGGAGCATGCATGCACTTTCAGCATGCTTTTTCCAGCGTGTACGCATCATTTCAAGTGCAGTCATGTGCCATGTGTCGGTCAAACATGCAAATCGGCTATAGTGATGCACCGGATATAGTGATAAATTTTCGAAAATCAAAGGGGCACGTTATATCCGATATTTACTGTACTGTAGTTGACGTTGATTTAGTGACTTTGGCAAATTTTTTGAGTCGTGTCAAGAAGTCAGGTAGGATTCAGTACTAGGCAGTAGTGGAACGTGAGTGGTATCTTTGCCGATTTTTGAGGGTATCCTGGATTTGGTGTGCAGCGCTGTGGAAATGGCTTGCTGTGGAGGTCCCAGCACTGGATGTTGTATCAAAGGTACGACCTCGTAGCACGTGCTAAACCTAACAAAATTCAAAAATTGACTTGCGCGTCTGTGGGAGTCTGTTAGAGAACGCACACTCGTGCCGTTGTGACAGATTCCAGGGCTACGTTGAGGGGCCCTATCCCACCACCCATCGCTGCTTCTGGACTTGTTTTAGGTTTGGATCCCGCGCACGGACAGAATGGGCACGAAAATGTGAAAAAAATGTAAATGCATTTTTTTGGCTCCTGGGTGGCTCGCATACCGTACCGTGGCACTATGCCGGAATGTTGAGTTTTTCCGGCCTGGAAAGCCTGTCAGTGAGGCGCAAAACTTTTAAAATCATGTCCAGAGTAGCCCTTTCCCAAAGGTGCTCTTTTAATTCGCACTTAGTGCTTTTCGCGTCCCTCAAAATATCCTGAAAAAGTGCTCTTTTTTCAGTGAAAACAGGCAAAAAATGCTCTTTTTTCAGTGAAGCATAGCCATGATACAGTCATGTTCAGATATGAACCTAAGCTGAGAAATTAATACACACTCTTCCATTTATGAGTCCACGAAAGGCAAAACAGGAAGTAAAGTTCAAAAAACCCACTTTTTACAGCATTGTGTACAACTTACTACAGTCAGACCTCGCTTAACCGAACACATCTGTTTTCCACAAAAATATCCGGATAGGCGAGGGAACCGGATAACTGAACACACATACTTTATATGCATGTGGCATGTCAAAAGCAGTGACATCGTACATACATGTACATGTAGACGGGTCCTATGCAGTACAACTAGCGTGCGCAGTATGTAAAACAAGCGAGAAAAATGAC